CAAGCAAAAAATAATAATAATGACAGTTATCTCCTGTGAGGTTTAAAATTCATGATAACAACAGAATAAAAAGTGGGAAGAGGTAAATGCAGTTAAAAATGTTCTAATTTCCTTGCATTGTCCTGGACGTACTAAAAGTATTCATTTTAGGGGCAGCTGGGTGGCTCAGTTGTTAAGTGTCTGCCTTCAGCTCAGGTCATGATCCCAGGGTCCTGGGATCAAGCCCCACATCGGGCTCTCTGCTTAGCGGGAAGCCTGCTTCTCCCTTTCCCACTCCCCCTGCTTATGTTCCCTCTCTTGCTATGTCTCTCTCTGTCAAATAAATAAATAAAATCTTTAAAAAATAAAATAAAAAAATAAAAGTATTCATTTTATATTAGACTTTAATACATCTAGGGTCAACATTTTATTTTCCTGGGGTAACTGCTAAAAGGATTGTAAAAGATTATATAACTAACAAGTTCAATAGAAGAAAAAATAGAATAATAAAAACAATTCAAAAGAAGGCTTAACAAGGAAAGAAAAAAGGAACACGAAAAGGATAGAATAAATAGAAAATGAATAGTGTGTTCATTGCTTTAAACCTAAATGTAATGTAAGTGGGTTATTACATTAAATATTAAAAGGGAAATATGCCAATGAAAATATTAATCTTGTCAAACTGGTTATATGACAGGTTGAAATTTAAAAGATAGAAAAATATGTATTAACACAGCTTCATAATATATAAAGTAAAGATTGACAGAGCCAAAAGATGAATTTGACAAATCCACAATTGTAGTGGGATATTTTAACACACTTCTCTCAATAATTTATAAAGCTAGCAGACAAAAAGTTCAGTATGAGTATAGAAAATTTGTACAAAATGATTAACAAACTTGACCTAACAGAGCAACTACAGAATAGATATTCTTTTCAATTACATGGGGGAAAATTTACCCAAACTGACCACAGGAGGTAGAATAATGGTCCCCCAAATATGTCTATATCCTGATCCCCAGAACCTGTAAATATGTTATATCACATGGCAAGGGGAAATAAGATTGCAGATGGAATTAAGGCTGCTAATCATATGACCAGGAGATAAGGAGATTAACCTGGATTATCTGGATGGACCCAGTGTAATCACAAGATTCCTTAGATGTGAAAGGGAGATTGAAGAGCCAGGGTCAGAGGAATACAGAAAGTCTCTAGAAGTTGGAAAAGGGAAAGAAACAGTCTCACCTATAGCCTCAGGAAGAATGCAGCCCTGGGAACACTTTGCTTTTAGCCTGGTGAGACCCATCATGTCAGATTTCTGACTCCAGAACTATAAGGTAAATTTATGGGGCGTCTGGGTGGCTCAGTCAGTTAAGCGTCCAACTCTTGATCTCAGCTCAGGTCTTGATCTCAGGGTTGTGAGCTCACACCCCGCATTGGGCTCCGCACTGGGCGTGGAGCCTACTTTTTAAAAAAAGATAATAAATTTATGTTGTTTAAAGTCACTATTTTTCCAATCTTTGTTACTTGCAGCTGATCCAATTGCTAACTGATTCCAGGGTGTCCCCATCAGCCATGTTAAACGGCAGGAGCAGGAGCAGAACATGAAAGGGTGCAGCTGGAATATTGGCTGAATCTTGAGGATTGACAGGAGCTAAGTCTGAAGAAGTAGGGTGAGATCCTATCCACTTCATTCATTCATGAAACATTTACTAAGCACCTACTCTCTGCTAGATCCTGTGTGTAACACAGAGCTGTAGAGATGACTAGGACAAGGTTCTTGCTCTCCAGGAGCTCACAGGGGAAGACAGAGAATTAAACCATGGAGAAGAGCAATGACAGGAGTAGGCACCAGAGGAGATGGCAGCACAGAGGTCTCTTTTGGTTGCCAGTGATGGAATTCCAGTGTGTACAACTTAGACCAAACGTGTATGGGCTCATATAGCCAAAAGGAGGAAGTCCAGAGAGAGAATGCGGCCAAGAGGGTGTGTGAGCAAAGGCAAGGTGAGAAGCAGCTTGGAGGGTGTGGAGAGCCATGAGAGCTGGTATAGCTGGGGTGCAGAGCACAGGGGAAGGAGCAGCAAGAAGAGATGGAGGTGTCCATGGGCCACACCATGGGAAAGCCTCAAATGGCAGATCATGGCATCTGGATGTCACCTGGCAGGTTATGGGGAACTGTGGAGAAAGGCAAGGAGTTGTTAAAGAGAGGAATGCAGTGGTGAAATTTGGGTTTTAGACACATCACATTGACTGTGACATGGAGAATAGATTGGAGAAGGGCAAGACTGCAGTCAGGGAGTCCTTTTAGAAAGCTGTTGCAATAATACAGATTGGATCGTAGTGCTGTACACATGGGGAGTGCCATGAAGATAGCCAGAAGGGATAATGGAGAAGCGCAATGACAGGAGTAGGCACCAGAGGAGACGGGAGCACAGAGGTCTGTAATCAGGACATTAGAATCAGAATCAGGAGGCTTTTGGTTGACTTGAGGTGGGCGATGACAGGGGGAAATAAGTATGAAGGACACAGTTCTCTGGTTTCTGATGGAAGCAACTTGGTGGTGCCATTTATTGAGATGGGGGATATAGGGAGAGCAAGTTGGAGGGAGATGATCAATTCAGTTTGGGACACATTGACATTGAAGGGCTTGTGGGACATTCTGGTGGAGATGGTCAGGAGCAATTGGATATTTAGGTCTGGAGGTCCAGTGAGAGCCTAATCTGGAGAGAAAAACACAAGAGCCATCAGAATCTAGGACATTGACAATGGAACCATGGGAGTAGATGAGATCCCCAAAGGACAAGACTTAAGGCAGCAATTCTCAACAAGATATGCATGGGGTGGCATAACTCCTTAGGAGGGTTTGGAATCACCAGAGGGCCTTTCCCAAAGCACCAACCTTCAATTTCAATAAATACCCTAGGAAGTGTGACCAAGGGAAACTCTTGCTGATGAGGATGTGATCTAGGGTAGGAAGAAATTTGAGACCCTTGGTAAGAAGAAAATAGAGTCAAGGTGGGCACAGAGAGCAAAGGAAAAAAGGAACCAGAAAGGGAGAGAGGTTTGAGGAGATCCAGGAGAATGAGGTGCCCTGGATGATAGAGCAGTGACTCTCAACTGTGACTGTGCACCAGGGGCACTTGTGACAAATACAGATTCCTGCCCTTCTCTATTCTGATGCCATGGGGCCCTAGAATCCGCACTGTAAAGAGTTCTGCAGGCACTATTTCTGGAGTAGAGAATTTCACGAAGACAGGTGTGGTTGACAGGCTTACACCAGCAGAAGTGATGGATCCAGCAAGATAAAGATCTGTTGGATTCTGCTCTTCAGGAGGTCACCGGTAACCATGAAAGAGGTAATTTCGGTGGTGGCAGTGTGGGTGTGGAAGCCAGATTGCAGTGGGCTGAAGACTGAATAGGAGGTGAGAAATAGAAGACAGCAAACGTAGACCCCTTTTAGAAGTTTGGATGAGAGGCGGAGGCGAGAGCTTCATCCCCCTCAAAGGCCAACTTCCATCTCCTGGAGAAACTTGGCAAACAGGATTGGGGAAATCTGGAGGCTGAGTCAGACATTCCATGGACCTTCAGAACGCACCAGGAAGGCAATTTGGGAATCGGCAAGGGCCGAGCACACCTCAAGCTGCCAAATCGCAAAACCAAACCCACTGTGCCCTCCTTCTGTCTACCCACTCCAAGTGCATTCCACCATATTCACCGCCCAAGTGATCTTTCCATGACTCAGATCTGACTATCTTTCTGCCCTACTTGAAACTGTCCAACAGCTACTTTCCCCACTCTCACCCAAGAGAATACCAGGGAACACTCCCAGGGAATACCCAAGTCCCTGACCTTGGCATTCAAAACCCTTCTGACTCTGGTGATCCCGCCTTCCGTCTGCATCTTCACCCCCACCCTCTTCACTGTCGCCTCCCACTGTATCACATTCACCTTGAACCCAGGCTTCATGGAGTCACTGGCAGTTCCCCAGTTAACTGTGCTCTCCCACCCTCATTAGCCTACTAGTCGTCTTAGACACAGCAAACTCAAATACCACCTCCTCTGAGAGTTAGTTACTCCCTCCTTGGAAGGAACCAGCACCTTGCCCACACCTGCACCAGAGTACAGGTAGAAGAAAGTCTTCTTATCTATTTGTTGACACAGCTGTACCCTCACTGGACTGTGTCTTCTCTGGAACCAAGGTCATCTTACTCTTCTCTGAATGACCAGCATCTGGCCAGGGCTGAGTTCCCAGTAAGTGCCAGTGAATGTGAAGTGGGGTTTCACCCGGAAGTACCCATCATGATAAAGTAAATGTTGAAATTATGAAGTCAACCCACTGACCCTCTGATCCACCAATCAAGTAATTGAATCTGCAGGTTCTTCTCTCTCGCCCCCTTTCCCTTTTCCCTAGCTGTATTAATTTTCCCTCCGAAATGTAAGAAAAGGCGGGCTCTGGACAACTGTGTCTTTAAATTAGATGGTACAACATCTCCTATGGACTAGGAAGTCATATGAGGGTGTGCTACAGTGGAAAGAGCACCTGGTTCCACCTCAGGGAGTTTTACTTTGATTCTTTCCTTTAACACGTTTCTTAACCTCTCTGAACCTTAGTGCAGTTGGGGTTACGGATACCGCTATCTAAAAAAATTGTGAGAATCTAGTGAAATACTCCTTGCAAAGCCTAGTTTTTGTAATGCTAGTTGTTATTAGGCTTCTGAGATCCTAATGAAGTAGTATCTCAGTAGCAGGACACCAACAAATTGCATTTGTAATTTCAAATGGCTAAAAGAAGCGCCCAAGGTAATACCGCCCTTCAAAGTTTATTTCTCCAAAATGCGAACTTCCTACCTCCCGGGCTCCTCAGGCCCACTGAAGACGACTATAACTGAAGCTCCGCCTCCCTAACCTCTAGCCACGCCCCTTTCCGTACAAGCCTTACGTTGTAGGGGCCTTTAACATTGATTGACACTTTTATTCACCAATAAAAAGTGAAATCCCCTTTAACGTCCGGTGAGGGGGCAGGACTTCCTTGTTGTTGCTAAGACACTCTTGTTTCGCTCCTTGACAACCCTGGCGGGGGTGCGCTAGCTGCGGCCCCGGCTCCGGCCCCCGCGGGAGCAGGTGAGGCCCCGGGGTGCGGCGGGCAGCCGGGCGGGGAGGGCCGGCCCGAAGCGGGGCCGAGAGGCGTCGCAGGGCGGGTGGGGCCTCGCCCAACGCGGAGGCCCCACCTCGTCTCCTGCCTGCTGGTCCCCAGCCCCAGGTCCTCCCAACCCCCACACTTCGGGGACCTGCGAACTCGGCCGTGACAGATTAGCGGTGGCGACTCTGCGGGGTGCTCCTTCCCGCACACACCCGTCCCGCTGCGCGGTCCCCCATCCTCCTCGACCCGACTACCCCCAGGACCTTGATTACCACCCCCGCAACCTTTCGCGGAGTAATTCCCCACTCCCGCGGCTGGACGGGTGGTCGCCATCGCCTTGGCCCAGACCGCTTGACTTGGACAGTTGGTGACGTGCTAGGATTCCAGGCTGGTCAGTTCCTTCTTCGGGCCTCAGTTTCCCCATCTGTAAATTGAAGTTGGGTTGAATAATCTCTAAGGCCTCTTCGACTCTGCCGTTCTAGGATGTGATTCTTTGACCCAGCTATAGGCTTCCCTGAGGATGTACCCATGGGAGTTACCGGGTGTAGTGAAAAGAACTTGGCAAACCTAATTTGGATTCTCAATTACGGGACCTTAGCAAGTTATCTAACCTCCCTGGGCTCCAGTCTGAGTGTATATGAAATCAGGATACAATAGGGCATCTCCTTGGGGGAATTCTGAGGATAATAGGAATTGAAGTATGAAGAGTCTAGTTCAGTGTGGATTTAGTATTTGTTACTTCACTTCCTCTGTCTCTTACTTCCCCACATTCTCCCCCTCTGAGAAGTGTCACCAGTACCTTTAGTGTCAGCCGTCATTTCTTCATGTGACCCTCAAATCCAGATCTCCTGCTCTGATCTTTCTCCTGGGCTTCCATGGTTAGGGATGCTTTGGGGCGGGGGTGAGGGTAGTGTGAGTTATTATTGCTATGGTGGTTGGACTCCATAGCTTCCCATCTGTGCCCAGTGATCCTGATTTGGTGATAACCTACTTCTGACAAGACACCTCCATTTTTTTTTTAAGATTTTTATTTATTTGACAGAGAGAGACACAGCAAGAGAGGGAACACAAGCAGGGGGAGTGGGAGAGGGAGAAGCAGGCTTCCCGTGGAGCAGGGAGCCGGATGCGGGGCTTGATCCCAGGACCCTGGTCTCACCAGCCACTTAAACTCAGTATTTCTAAAATCAAACTGGCCCACGTCTTTACCTGTCCATCCGTTCTACGTGACTTGCCCTGTCTTTCTCAGTGGCGTGGCCATCCTCCCTCACTCTGCCATGCCCCTCGCACTCAGGCAGTTGTCAAGTTCCTTTGATTCTGCCTCCTCGAGGACCTCACATCCTCTCCATTCCCGAAGCTACCATCTTGGCTCAAGTCTTTAAGTCTTTAATGCCTGTCACCTGAGCCAGTGCTCTAGCTTCCTAACTGGTGTCCCTACCTCCAGTCTTTTCTGTTTACCCAGCCCACCAGAATAATTGTCTGAAAACAATGCAATGTCACCAACCCCCAAGAGACCTCTCAAGGGCTTCTCATTTCCCACTAAAAATATCCACACTTCTCAAGCCTAGGTTTTAGAGCCCTTCTGTACTTCCACAGCCCAACCCCAGCATTTTTTCTCAGCCTTCTTTTTCCCTTCTGTGCCAGGTTCTGTCCTTTAGCCAAATTGGACCATTGGACTTTCCCAGAAAATGCTTTGAGCTTTCTGCTTGGATATCACTGTGTTTGTTCATCTCTCTGTCCAGAAAGTCTTCCTCACCTAGTCCACTTGCCAGGATTCCCACTCAAATTCTGCCCCTACCACCAAGCTTTTCTTGCTGTCCTCTCCCCTGCCCTTTCCAGAATTCTCCTCCTCCCTCTGTCTCTGCATCTGCCTTGTGGCATGTACTGCTTTCTGCCATGAACCATAGTTAGTTCCTTGTGTATGTGTCTTGGTCTCTCAGACTGTAAGCTCCTTGAAAGCAGAGACTGTCTCTTGCTTATAGTGGAGTCACTGAAAAGGCATAATCTTGGGGCACCTGGGTGGCTCAGTCGGTTAAGTACCTGCCTTCGGCTCAGGTCATGATCCCAGGACCTGGGATTGAGCCCCACATCGGGCTCCCTGCTTGGCAGGAAGCCTGCTTCTCCCTCTCCCACTCCCCCTGCTTGTGTTCCCTCTCTCGCTGTGTCTCCCTTTGTCAAATAAATAAATAAAATCTTAAAAAAAAAAAGAAAAAGCATAATCTTGAAGTCCTATATGCCTGAGGGAATCCTAGCTCCTCCATTTGTTAGCTGGGTAGAATGTCACTTTCCTTTTCTCAGCCATCATGGTCTTTTCAGTAAGGTTAATAGCACCTGTCTAACAGAGTTATTGGGGGGTGGGCAGTAAATAAGATCCTGTATGTAGGACACCCAACCTGTTGCCTTGCTCAAGGTCAGTGTTCAATAAATATTGAATGGATTTGATAGGTCCTCTCCCTTCCCAGGGGGGCAAATGAAATATAATTTAACCACAATATAGATATCTCATGGGCTTCTGCCATGTGCCAGACACTGGTCTTTGCGCTCTGGGGCATCTACAGGAGAATAGTTAAGTTCTTCAGCCTCAGGTGATTGCTAAGTCGTGACTGGTTATGAGATGTCACCAGTAATTAGCAGTTGTGAATGATAAAAAACATAATCAGTGCTAACTCCAATTTATTTCTGTAATAATGTCATTCTTAGTCCCTTACGTTCAAATCTGTTCTCTTGAGTGGGAAAGGGGGGGGTGGGAAACTGCGTAATCCTGTCTGTGGGAAGCATCTGTTCTTGTGTAGAGCTAATAGCTGGGATGGTTATGACTTTTTGCTGTACTTTGTAGCTTGACAAAATGTTTGGTATTTCATCCAAATTTGGGTATGTTGGTGAGGGGTACCACGTGAGTCAATATTGTTTATTCTATCAGGTTACACATAAAGAAAATGTCTTGATCTCTTCATCTCTCCATCTCTTTCTCTTCCTCCTTTGTCTTCCCTCCCTCTGCTAAGTCTAAGGCACAGCGAAAGTGTTCACTGGACCTCAATAAAATGAGAAAAAAAGAAGGGCAGTGTTAAAAACAATACCAACAGCAGCAACTTTGTGTGTGTGTGTGCGCACGCGTGCCCGCATGCACACATGTGTGCACATGCATACGTGCGTGTGTGAAAGGTAACAGTCTTTTCCGAGGACTGTCTTTTATTCTGCAACCATCTCCTTCTAACTATTAAAACCTTCCTTTATAGTAGATAATGTGCTTAATGCTCTTGCTTAGCATAATTTAAAAACGCAATCCTGCGTTTGCTTCCCCCTTTCTAAGCTGATCTGTAAAATCCAGATCTTCCATGGTGTTTCCTGACCTCACCACCGTCTTGGATGAATGGCCCCAGGCCCTTAGGTTCCTCTCTCCTCCCCTTGCCAGCTTTGCTCTGTGTTTGCCAGAAGGCAGAGGGTAGACGTGGCCAGGAAAGGTGGGGGGATGACCAAGGTACACAAGTGTGTATCCTGGATATGGCTGGAAGCAGGAGGTGTGGCTGGAAGCAGGAGGTGTGCCTGGACAGGTGGCTGGACTGGGAGATGCTGAGAATTGAAGCTATTTGCATTTCTGTCTGTCTCCTACTTGCTTGTGACTGGGGAAAAGGCATACAAGGTAGAATTAGAAGAGTAGGTATGGGTTTGGATCCCGGCTCTGTCATTACTGGCTGTGTACCTTTGGGCGAGCCCCAAAACCTCTCTGAGAACTGGGAGTGGATGCTGCCTCCACAGGTTGTTATGGGGTGACATGAAACAAGGTGAAAACCCAGTGTACCCACACCAATAGCGCTGGCCTCAACTTGTTCTACAGAATTTCCTTGTGACTTTCGCCCATCCATGCTAATACTGTGGTTTGCGGAGTGACAACTCAGTAAGTATTGGTTTGTTTGGCTGAATGTTTAGATGTTTAGCGAGCTGGCATATGAAGAAAGACATTGCAGGTCCCGCTCCGAGTGCACCAGTAACAAGAGCTGACATTTACTGTGAAGTAGTCTATGCTTTATCCCAATTTCCAGATGAGAAAACTAAGGCTTAGAGAGAGAAACACTTGTCTGAGACTTGAGATGTGAATTTGGACCTGCCTGTGGAGCCTGCACCCAACCACCGCCCCGTCCTGCTCTGAGTGTGTCCTCCCATCTCTCGGATCCTGGGGGTGGTTACCAGGGGCGCCCCGAGGTCCACAGGCCAGGAGGGTTCTGGGCATTGAGTGGCTGGGGGCACCCCCAGAGGACTGGCAGACACTTTGGGCCTTATTTCCCAGAATTCCTGCATTTCTCCCCCATCCTCTAACCCTCTTCAGGATTCTTCCGAAATGCTTCAGAAGCAAAACAATACATTGTGACTGAGGTCAGTGTCACAGAAGAACAAGGCCCAGATAGCAGGACAGGGGCACTGGCTGTTCCAAGGCAATGACAGGAAGAGCCCTGTCTGTGCCCCCTGTTGCCTGGGAGAAGCCTCGCAGCAGACACGGGCGAGGCTGGGTAAAGCTCGCGGAGGCGCCCTTGGGCCAAGAGAGGGCGCGGCTGCCACCAGCTTGGTGCGCCAGGACATCCTGGGACTGGTACCCAAGAGATTCAAGGACCCTGGCCGTGGGCACACTTGCATTATTAAAGGGCTCTCTTTTAGGCCTGATGGGACTTCTTTCTGGCCTGGAGCTCTCAGGCACACGCTCATTTGCATGGAAGATTGATAAGGTTATTAAAACCTCTGGGTCCGCTATTTTTGGTAGCGTTCTTCCAGCCGGGTTTTAAGTCACGGCCAATGACTACAGCTGTACTCTGTAAGGACACAGCGTCATAAAAGAGTCTCCTGCCTTTCCATATTTGGAAGCACATCATCTATAACTGTTCCTTTTTTAAGTCTCATCCCTTTTGGATCCCCAGAAGTACAGGTAGTGGTTAGGAAGAGCCATTTGCAATTGTGGCCTTAATCAGCGTGCTTGGATAATGTTGAAACCCTGGCCGGTGGCAGGCGGCAGTTAGAGCAGCGCAGTGAGGACAGTGTGCAGGGTTTGCCGTTTCCAAATGCTCACAGGCCTCCAGTTGGTGCTCGCGGTGGACCTCTAAGAACGAGAAGATGGGTTTCTCCCATTTCACAGAGGAGGAAACCAAGACTCAGGTGCAATTACTTGCCCAAGGCTGCAAAGCAAGGGAGAAAGTAGAATTCACTTTGTGAACAGGTATTCAAGCCTAAATACTCTGCCTCATGGGTCTCCACAACCCCCCTCCAAAAAATACCTGTCCCCGTGTCTCTTCCCCCTTTGTTCCTGAAGGATGGGCTTTGGCAATATCTCTGGCCTCTTGAGTCCTGTTTCATCAGGATTCCATATTTTCAGGTCCACAGACTCTGAGCAGCCACAGCCCCTGCCCTCCCCCAGGGCAGGCATGTACACGCTCGCCTCTGGATTCTCTTTCAGGCCACTCCAGGCCAGCACTTGTGAGCCCCGAGGAGGAATTGGATCGAATTGAAATACTTAGGTGGAAGAGGCCCCAGCAGCTGCTGAGGACCCAGTGTTCAGCATTTTCAGCTGAAAATCTCGGGAGGTCAACAAACCTTAAAGCCCTTAGCCTTTGATCATCACACCTGGATAATGTGGAGGGGGCTGCCACGTCTGTCACACCTGGATAATGTGGAGGGGGCGGCAAGCAAGTGGCCTTGCCGGGAGGACAGGATGGAATTGGAGATGGGCCTTCACATTAATGAGCAAAGACCAAAGGATTCACTGGATTTTGTGAAATAAGAAACACGAGCAGAAAGTACAATGAGGTGGTGCCTGGTCGTTTGCCAGCTTCCACGTAGAGACAAAAATCGCTAATATCCGAGTGCTCCAGATGCCCAGACTTGATGAGCTAAGAGGAGCCGTGCGGAAATCAGGTGGTGGAGTCGGGGGCAGGCTCCAGCCTTGTGCGAGGGAGCCCACCACATGGGGGGGTGCGGAAGGCTTCTGAGGCATCAGAGAGAGAGAGGGAGAAAACGGAGGGCACGGCCCAGAAAAAATGCACAGAAAGCTCAGCGCTCGGCCACACGGGGGTTGAGTTCACGTTAGGACGGTGGTCACCGACAGGCCAGACATCAGACGTGTACTTCACTGGCAGCGGCTGGCTGGAGGCCGGTTGCGTGGGCGCCTCCCGTGGGTTGGCGCTGTGAGGAGGGCCCACGCCGGACACCAGCCCTGCTGCTCACCAGCTGAGGCCTCGGGCCGACGAAGTAACAGCTTCAGGCCTCCCTGTGGGGTTGCTGCTGCAGCAGGGCCCTAGGGACCGGGAACCTAGCAGATGGCAACTGTCGTCACTGCCCGTTAGTTACTCTGCTAGGCGTCTTCCGGCTTTGGTGGCTGTGCCATGAAAACAAACCTATTTGCAACTGTGGGACATGCTGGAGGAACATTATCGGGTTGTATTTGTCCAGCATGGATGGTTAAACAGGGTTCATAGCACGGTGGTTTGTATGCATTTAGATCAGCACTTCTTTTTTTTTAATTTATTTTTGAGAGAGAGAGAGAGCACTTGAGCAGGAGCTGGGGGGAGGGGCAGAGGGAGAAGCAGACTCCCCGCTGAGCAGGGAGCCTGATGTGGGACTCGATCCCAGGACCCTGGGATCATGACCTGGGCCGAAAGCAGATCCTTAACGGACTGAGCCGCCCAGGTGCCCTAGATCGGTACTTCTTACGAGATGAAAAAGTCCTTTGAATTACAGGATAAATTGAATTATAGAATAACGAGAAACACCAGGATTTCTAGCAATGCTCCCAGACATTTAGGATCCAGGCTTATCTCTTTAGGAAAAGTCCCATCTGTTATTATATAACTAGATTTGAAAAGAAAAAAATCCAAACATATGTATTAGGCTTTATACCTCTCTGTTCATATGCATGCACATTCTCTCATGTATGTGGCCACGTGCCGGGCCCTGTGTTAGCCGCTTTACATACATTGTCTCATCTCTTACAGCCCCAAGAGATAGATGTGACTTACCCCCGTGTAACTGATGAGGCATCTGAGGCCCAAGGCCACACTCCTGGTGAACAGTAGAACCAGCACTAATGCCCAGGCCTTACACCTTCTGGACCAGCCAGACGGGACAGGGAGGCCTGAGCTGGGAGCCGGGCATGCCCAGGAGGACACGGAGCATCGCTGCTCCCGTTCCTTCCATAGATCAGGGACCTGTGGAAGGAGGTACTTGCTTGTCCCTAAGTCCAGAATTATCAATCTTGACCTTGACATTTAACTTTCTAGCCATGTGTGCAGGGAAGTAAGGACCACGTACATTAGTGTTCCTGCAGGGTTGCTGTGTTTGTTAATTACCGGCTCAAGCTCCATCCTCGGCCTGGCCCGCAGTCAGTATTTGTCTTGATAATGACAGTGTGGGCTTATAGCAGCATTACCAGTGTGTTCTTACCGGTCCCAGCAGCTCGCGTTGACTCATCCTCCCGTCTGTAGACTTGCTGGCCATTTGGAAAAGGATGTGGAGGAGTTAAGACGGGGAGGTGTCACACTGTCAGTGAGACATTTCTAATTTGTGATATATGGGTTTAAAGCCAACTCTTTCTCCTGGTTTTTCCTGTTTTCTACAGCACCCCTTGAGGAAAGACATTTTCTGCTACCACCCAGTTGGCAGGGCCTGCTTCCGAAATCTCCCGGGGGTGTCTTCACTGCCAGTGCCCGCGCCTCCTGAAAGCCCCACTCTCTCCCTCCAGTGGTCACAGTGGAAGGATCATGGGAGAAACAGAAGGGAAGAAAGAGGAGGCTGATTATAAGCGACTGCAGACCTTCCCTCTGGTCAGGGTAAGCCGCAGGGGAGGGAGGCAGGGCCGTCAGCAGGAGCTCGTTCCCTGCAGGACAGCAGAAGGAGGAAGTGAAGGGCTCTGCGGGCTCAGATCTAGAGGTCTGGGAGTCGACAGCGCTTCATTCCATCATCCATTCATTCATTCGACAAGTCTCCTTAGGCCCCCTACTACGTGTTGGGCACTGTTCTAGGCACTGTGGACGTAGCAGTGAACAGCAGAGGCGCGGGCCACATGAAAGAGAGGCTTAAGGAACATAACTCAGGTAGTTAGTGCTATAAAGAAAAATAAAGCAGGTGTATGGGGCTAGAGAGGAGAGGTTAGCTTCTGGAAAGAGTTCTCTGATCTCTGACTAGAAGGAAGTTGGGGAGATAGCCTTGTGGATGTCTGGGGAAGAACATTCGAAGCAGGGGAAATGGCGAGCACAGAAAATCCGAGGTGGGAATGAGCTCCGAGTTTTGGAGGAACAGAAGATCGGAGTGCGGAGATGGATGGCGGGACCTGAGGGCCAGAGTGACAGCCGGCCAGACCGCACAGGCGGGCCAGCCACCCCGACAGACCTGATGACAAAGAGGGATTCTGTCCTGAGTTCAAAGGCGAACAGTGGGTGTTTTAAACAGAGGAGTAATGTGATCCATTTGATGTTTCTAAAAGCTCACTCCAGCTGTTGTAAGGAGAATGGATTTTAGGGGACCAGGGTGGAAGTGGAGAGACCAATGAGGACGCTACCTCAGGGGCCCAGAGAGATGAAGGGGTGGCTGGGTCCAGGTCATGGCATGGAGGTAGACATGGTCACACTCAGGACAGATCTTGAAGGTCAAGACAGTAGAACTCACTGGTGCCTTGGGTGCCAGGTACAAGGGCACACGATGATCAAGATAACTCCCAGGGTTGGTTTTTTCCAGAACTTAGGAGAGGAAATGGAAGGAAGATGGAGGAAGAGCAGGCTTGTGGGGAAAGTCGAGTTCTCTTTTGGACGTCTCAGTGAGCTTGTCAAGTAAACGGTTGCATGTAGGAGTCTGGAGCCCCCAAAAGAGGTTATAACTGGGAATGAAAATGGGGGAGCCCTCCCCATGTAGAAGATAGATTCACAGGACGGGCTGGGATCTGCTGGAGAGGAGATTGCTGGAGAAGCCAGAGGGCAGAGACGAAGCCCAGGACCGCCCCACAGTCGGGGGCGCTGGGCGGGGCGGGGGGGGAGGTGCCAGCAAAGTGGACGAGAAAGAGCAGCCAGAGACGGGAAAAGCCAGGAGCCATCGAGAGTGGCCAAGCTGCCTCTCCAGGCTTTTGGGGTGACATCCAGCTGTGTTCTGCGGCCGCTTCTAAACTCTTTCTGTAACTGGCATCCTCTCCTGCCCGGGCCAGCCTGCTTCCCCGAGGCTGCTGGCTGGAACACGATCCCAATGAAGCTTCGTGCCCTTGCAGGGGGGCCCCGGATGTGAGAGCCTGCTTGGTTCCACTGGATTCCACGCCCCGAGTCCGGAGATGAGTCACCTCTCTGGGCTGTGCCAGAGCAGCTCCCCAGTGTCTGTGCCTTGAGCTTGGGACAGAGAGGCCAGCCCAGAAGGCCAGGTCATGGGCTAAGCCTCTCTGTTTGTCCCCCTGCCCTGTCTCTAGCACTCGGACATGCCAGAGGAGATGCGAGTGGAGACCATGGAGCTATGTGTCACGGCCTGTGAGAAATTCTCCAACAACAACGAGGTATTGCCATTGGGACAGGCGGCCTCTTGTGCCTTTGGTGACCCCCGTGGGTGAATCAGGTGGCCCCCGTCCCCACATCCAGCTCCAGACAGTCCTACTGGGACGGCTAACACCTTCCTTGGAAGCATTCGAAGCCCGAGGAAGGCCAGGAAGGGAAGGGGCTGGTGCTGTCTCCGGGCACTGGTCTGCTGGTCGCGCCCAGCCCTGGAGGGCCCTCCGTGCTGCTGCGGCCTGCCCAATAGGCTACCTTTCCCCTTGGCTCCGTCCCAGGGGAGAACAGGGCCCGGCCAGGCATTCATTCATGTATCCATTCATCCGTCCAGAAAAGATGTGAAATGCCACCTCTCGTGCCAGTCGCTGTTGTAGGTGCTGGGGCCGCAGCCAGTAGGCACTGACGCAGGAACATCGTTCATCAGTCTGGTGACGAGGGAGAAAGTCAGTAACGTGGCAGCCAGTGGGGAGGCAGACCCTGGCCGACGAGAGCCTGGGCTTTGGGCCGTCGAGGCCCAAGTTCAAATGCTGTCTCCAGCCCTTCCTAGCTCTTTAACCTTGGACAAGCCATTTCCCATCTCTGATCCCCGGTGTCCCAGTCTGTAGTGGGGAGTCAGATGCTGCGTCCTCGATGGGCGCTCGTGAGGAGACGTGTGCTGAGGTGGTGCAGGCCAAGCACCTGGCACGCTGGTGGTGCTCAGCACGCACCTGAGTGTGGGACTCACCCTCCAAGGCTGGGTCCCTTGGCCCTCCCTAGACTTCTTCTCAAAAGAAGCTTCTCGAAAGAGCCAGCACAGGAAGGAATGGGGGCTGTTGCCATAACTGAGGGAAGCAGTCCAGCTTCTCTTCCGGGAGCCCCCCAAACCCATTAGGAAAAGCCTTTCTGTCCCCCGAAGATGAAGCTGAGAGCTCGCAGTGAGGATAACCACATAGTGTCTGTGGACTGCTGTGGGGCGCGTCACTGCGCATCACTGCGGCCCGAGCACCGCCTGGCGCTGCCAACGCCAGAGACACGCGCTAAGTGGCAGAGCCAGAGCTCAAACCCATGGCCACCTGCGGACCAGGGTCTGCTTCCCCTCCCTCGTCGGTGTCTTCTTCACGGCTGGGGTCACGTCTGTCCTTCCATCCCTGTGTACTAGCCCCCTGGCAGCACGGGGGTGGGGGGCAGTGTGGAAACCCTTCCTGAAGGTTCCGGGAGCAGGAGAACAACAGGAGGGCGACAGGCTTTTCTCTTGCCGAGATTCCCAGAGTGGGGGTTGACTCATGCGCCCTCTCCCCCCACCTGACGAGCATCCTCTTCTTCCCAGAGCGCGGCCAAGATGATCAAGGAGACAATGGATAAGAAGTTCGGCTCCTCCTGGCACGTGGTCATCGGCGAGGGCTTTGGGTTTGAGATCACACATGAGGTGAAGAACCTCCTTTACCTGTACTTCGGGGGGACCCTGGCTGTGTGTGTCTGGAAGTGCTCCTGACGCCGTCCCCACTCCGGCCCCCGGCCCTGCAGGGCCACTTCCTGCCACCCCTCGGGGATGGGGAGCAGCCCCAGGCAGGTCCTGGTGTGTCAGAGGAGAGTCTGGGATCTTTCCTTTGGCCCTTTCCTACGAGTCTCTGAGCCACGCCCAGTGTGTGAGCGTGTGGACCTGTCTTCCCCCAGGCCCCCAGCGTGTGAAAGGGAGAGCAGGCTGTGGTCTCGATGCAGGGGAGGGGTGGGAAATGTGACAGGGTAGGAGGGCGGGGAGGTGGGGTTCTTCTCCCCAGGACATGCCAGCCCCAAGCCTGCTGTCCCCTTGCCTCCCGGGAGCCCCCTGCCCGACCACCCCCAGCACTGCTGGCAGGGGTCCACTCTCCTGGTCTTCAATGGCCGTAGGCAGATGGCCCCACGAGGAGCCTGTCCTCTCAGGGGACACTGGCAGCGTCTCCCCTTGTCCTCTGGAGAAATGGTGGCCCCCTCCGGAAGCCCCTTCCCCAATCAGACCCCAGGCTGAACAAACCACTGCATCTCATTGGGCCAATGGCTCCCTAGTCCCCGGCTTTGGCGTGAGGACCCTGCAGCCTTCCCCCGTCCTCTGGCCACATGAACCTTTTGTACCGCCTCCACCCCGCGCACTCGGTACCCCGGGCAGAGGGGGGTGGGCGTCACTGAGCCTCCGGCGAGGCTCCCGGGCCAGCAGTGCACATACCACGAGGCCTGTTTCGGCAGGGAATCCTGGCCTGCCGGCCACTGCTCATCAGGGACCGCATGCTAATTTGTACTTCTTATCTCTGCTGGGTTTTCTATATTCTTTTTTGAGCGTGGGGAGAAAGGTTTTAGTAGAAGGGTGAATCCTATTTTACACAGCGGTCTTATTTATATAAATGTCTTGGTTTTTACAATTAAAATGACCAAAAACGGACCTCGATCTACAACCTCTTGAGGCTTTGGGGGGCGGCGGGCGGGGGAGTGGGGGATGGCTCGGGATCCTCAGGCTGTGGTGGGTCCTGGGAGCCCACGGAGTCTTCTGGCTGAATGGCGAGGCTACTGGAACGTGTGCCCAGGCACAACCCCGCTCGCCCGGGCCCTGCCCCTCACCAGTGCCTCCCGGGTAGGGGCTGCAGGCCATTGCTGGGGCCACGCAGACACCGACTGAGACACCCTCGGTGGCCGCACTGAGCTGCCATAGCCGTAAAGGTGCTTTCAGCCTCACAAAATGGAGTTTTAGTTCGAAGGTGTTCATTCAACAGCTGTTGAGGGCCAGGCCCCAGGGGCAGGGACACAAAGATGGAAAAGCCACAGACCCTGCCCTTCGTGCGCTCACGGTCTGGTGTGGTCTGGTGCAGAGGAACATTTGAACCCAGTTGTTTCAACTGGACAGGAAAAGTGATGTGACCAAAGATAGGCCGGGGCCCTCCAGGAGGAGGAAGGGGTGCCTCCATGCCCAGCCTGGGGAATGAGGGGGGCCTCTGATGGCTGAGGCCTGAAAGCAGCTCTTGAACGGGGAGGGGGCTGCCCTGGCGGAGGGGCTGCCCCAGGCCAAGAGGCGGTGGGAGTAAAGACTCAGGAGGCAGAAGTGAGTTGAGGATGAGGGGGGCACACTGTGGGACTGTGAAGCCCCTTCCACTCGGGCTGGCCCTTCGATTCAAGTCTCAGACCCTAAAATGCTGGGCAGAGCTGGGGGAGTCTGTCCTTCCCTGCAGCCTACGTGCCCCCTGCCCACGGGGCCTTTCTGAGATGGCCCACCTAGGACACTCAGGCTGGGAAGTCTCGGCGCCTGGTCCAGCCGCACCCTTCCGAGGCTGAGTCCACTTGTAACCGGATGTGTCAACAGGTGTGCTGGATGGTGTGGCTTCAGGCCACTCGGATGTGCTCAAAGACCAGTGCGCCTGGGCAGGGAGACTGGTGCCGTCGGGTCCCTCGTGGACGTAAGTGCTTGCTGAGTTGGTGCCCTGCGGCGTCCTGACCTGAGTGCAGTGGGGTGCACAAGAACTGGAAGTCGAGGTCTCCCCAAAGGCTGACTCAAGGCTGGAGAGACGGGGGGCACACAGAGAGGAGTGACGGGAGAGGGGTCGCCAAGGCCTGGAGTAGCTGCGGTTTATTAACCGCCTGCTTTGCGTCTGTTCTCTCCTTTAATCTGCCACCTGTGGCTGCCACACAGGGAGGCTGGCGCAGCCTGCAACCGAGGTGTGGTGGGGGTGGCATCTGGGAGCGTGGACTTCTGAGGTCCTCTGATCTGGCTCAGGCCTGGCCCTGCTCTTCTTAACCTCTCTGTGCCTCGGTTGCTTTGTCTGCAGAATGGGGATAAGAAGCACCAGCCTCCTGAGGTTGTTGGGAGTCTCTGGGCCTGCCTCTGGAGCAGGTGACGCCCCAGGGCTGTGCTGTTAAGTGTCTTCCCAGCTGACACCCAGCCCCTCAGGATGGGGTGGAGCCTCAGCGAGATGGGGCTAGTAAGGGGCTGGCCCTCACAGGCCTGTGATACAGTGGTGCTCCTTGGGTCCAGGCAAAGGACCCCCTCCCTGCTTGCCACCCCACTCCTGCTCCTACAGAAGGTCTAGTCACTGTCGGGCCAGGTCAGGTGACCGGGCACCATGGCAGCTGTGTCTCCGCCAGCATGGTCACCCCGAGCTTCCTCACAGGGCCCTCCCCACTCCTAGCCAGTGGTTCAACAAGCATCAGCGGACAGGAGCTGAAGAGGAGAGGGAGATAATGAAGGATGCACCATCCTTGGCAGTGAATGGCTTGAGGTCTGTTGAGGACAGACCCAGAAGAGAAAAGCAGATGATTTGAAGTCATCCACGAAGAGGAGAGAGGGGGCAGGGTTCACAGAAATACGGGGTTCAGAAAAGAGCAACTCACTGCCCAGGCACGGGCTGGGGAAGCTTCCAGAGGAGGTGGCATTGAGCTAGGCCCTGGCATTTTCCAGGGGTGGGGAGGCAGGGGGAAGGTGCCATCGGCTGAGGGAGCAGCATGTAGCTACACGGGGGCCCGAGGACCCCGCTGAGATGCTCTGGGAAGTGGGGCGGTCGGACTGGAGTTGACCAAAGGGCAAGAGGGGAAGGCAGCGGGCTGAAGGTGAAGGGCTTTGCCGGGGTTGAGGAGGAAGAAAATGCCGTCTGTTGAGTGTGTCCCACTTGGCAGGCAGCGGGCTCCCTCCCTCATGACCACGATGTCCTGTGTCCTCAGCAGACCTCCCAGGTGGTAGTCACTGTCCCCGTTTACAGATGAGGAATCTGAGGTTGGGAGGATGAGCTGTCTTGCCCAGGGTCCAGCGGGGAAGCCACTAGCCAGAACCTGAGCCTCGGCCTGCGGGCCTCCCCTGGCCCTGCTCATCTCTGTGCCGGCTCTATTCGCCGGCCTTCTGTGCGCCCCCCACCCGGCAGACAGCTGGGGTCGCCCCAGTCTGTCAGTGCCTCGGTGCGTCCAGCCCCTGGCGGCGTACTCCCGCTGGCCCCGGGCCACCGCCGGGCCCTCCGCTCACATCGAGCAGCCCCTGGGCATTGACTTAGCGGATTGGGGCCGCAGGCCTGCAGCCCGGCTGGCCTGTCCCTGCGCACTGTGTGCAGGAGCAATGGCTCACCCACTCACACCTCCGTCCCTGCGGCCAGACCCCGCCAGAGCCCGGGTGCGAGACACTGGCAGCCCTGCTTAGAGGCCGGCGCACAGGGCTCCGTCCCTCTGCCTGGGAGAGCAGTGAGTGCTGGCCAAAGGGAACTGCCCCCCGCAGACACTGGGGCGGTTAGTGGGAGAAGGTAAAGAGGGAGGACTTGTCACTGCGTGCCACCAAGGGGGCAGGCTGCCTTTGAAGCACTCGTGTGGCCTCAGGAGAAATCCGATGAATATTTAATGTCCTCTTAGAAGGGAGGCCGAGAAGCTCCAGGATCCCACTTAACCTACTTCCTGCCTCTCTGGAGAACAGGCAGGCAGGGGGGTGTCCCCTTGGGTTGTGGGGTCCCAGTGCAAACCAGTGCCCCCCTCCAAGCAGGAGCGACTGAGCTGGGAAGCAGCTTTCAGCTCCTTCAGGAGAGAAGCAGGCAACATCTGAGTGCGCCCCGCGGACCCTCCCCCTGTTTGGGAGGGGGATTGGGAAAGTTTAGCCACAATCGCCACCCTGTTCTATTTTCCTTTTGTTCTTCTCATCTCCTATTTAAAGCAACCACCTCCCACTACCAGCTGCTGTCTTCAATCCTTGGAAAGGCCTGGGGTGGGGGAGTGGCGGGCGGGGGCGGGGGGGGGGGAAGAGCACGCTCAGGAGGCAGGAGAGCTGAATTCGTATTAATAATATTCCCAAACTACCAAGCGTGCCACACACTTCCCTGAGCATTTTCAGACTCGAGCTCATTTAATTCGGCCACTGCTCTGAGGTGGTACTGTCCACGTCCCTCTCTTCACATGGGGCATCGAAGTGCAGAGAGGTGAAGCTCCAGGTCACGGGGAGGCGGAGGCAGAGCCGGGGTTCACCGTAGGCTGGGGACACCAGAGCCCCCACATCTAAAGCTCTCCAGTGGTCTGCCCGCTGTCTTCTCACCTGCAAAGTAGGGTTCCCAGCCCCTGCCCTGCCTCCTTCCCGAGATGACTGTGGGGCACTCGGCAGATGCTGGCCATGGACACGGAAGTGCTTTCAGGTGGGAAGGGCTAATCCAGGATTTGGGCCAGGGCCCGTCTGGGGTGCCATCCTGCACCCTTGGGCCTCCTGGTCCCGGGATGTATCGGCCTACAGTGCTGGAGCGTGAATGGCAGGGGGACGGCATGTGCACGCGAGTGCATCCACACACACTTCAGTGACCAAGGACCCCGAAGAGCTGGACTAGACACTCCTCCACCCTGAGCCAGGGAAGACCATGTCCATGACAAGTGCCTGTGAGGGCTTCCCGGAACCGCGTCTGTCCCGCCAGCCTTAAAATGGCCCAATGAAGTGGGGTTCCCACCACCATCGGTGGGGAAATGGCTTCACAGAGAACTTGTGACACGCCTGCCATGGGGACTGGCCCCAGGCTCAGGTTTCCCTACTGCACACCCACAGCCATGGAGACGTGATGAGAGTGACAACTCCCCCAGGACACCTTCCCCACTGCACCCTCCAGACCCCCCTTCTGGACTTGCGCTCTGTGTCCCCAGTGTGCCGCATCTTCTGTCATGGTATC